GCCCCCTCACCCTGCCCCTCCTGTTCCCCAGGCCTCTGCCTCTCCCCCTCCCTCTGCCTCTGCCTCTGCCTCCCGAGTGCTGGGATTAAAGGCTAAAGGCATGCAGCCTGTAACCTATTTTTCTAAACTTTAGAAATTAAGATTATATTTTATGTGAATGAGTATTTTCCCACATGTATATGTGTGTACAGTGTGCATACCCGGTGCCCACAGAAGCCAGAAGAGGGTGTGGGAGCCTCTAGAACTGTAGTTACAGATGATTGTGAGCCACCATGTGGGTGTTGGGATTTGAACCCAGGTCCTCTGGAAGAGCAGCTGGTGCTGAGCCATCTCTCCAGCCTTGTAACCTGTTTATAACTGCAGTGTTTTCATTTCTGTCCTCTTACTATGTCACTTTCGATAGTGCCACACTATTCTATGCTATGATATACTTAAGTGCATCCCTCTGGTGACCTTTTTTTATGGGCTCATCCTCTAAGCCATTTCTCTGGTTTATGGCCACTGTCATTTCATGGCTGTAAAACTCACTGTTGCTCCAGATTCGTTTCTTCTTACCATGGTCAGACATTTTTGTCCATCCGTCTCTCCTGCCCATTCCACATGCCCTTTTCTTCAAAGCCTCGGAAAGCTAAAGTCAGCACCTGTGTCCAAAAGATCAGTTAAAATGATACCGTAAGACAGCGCCCTTGGTAGAGATGGTAAAGGGTATGTGAGATCTCTTCATTCTGTTTTATTATGTTATTATTATTATTTCCTTTATTTAAAATTTTAATTAGTATATACACTTTTAGGTTTCACTGTGGCATTTTCAAGCGTAATTCCTTTATGTCAATTCTTCTTACCCCACCTTCCCCCTCAGTACCCTTCCACCTCCCCATAGCCTCCTTTCCTCATGTCACGTGTGTCCTGTGGCCTCCCCCTCAACTCCTTTCCCCCTTGTAGTCTCACGCTCACCCCGCTCATATACGGGCGTGTAAATATTACAAGCTAGGTCCCAGACAGCAGAGTCTGGGTCATTCCACTTAGTCCGCAGTGATGTCTCTACAAGGAAAAGAAAAAGTAGTGTGTGACAGTTGGTCCCTAAAGGGACAGAAGGGGATGATGACACACACTTGTAATTCTGGTACTTGGAAAGGTGGAGCAGGAGGAACGTTGGGTTTGAGGTTCACCTGGACTACATAGTGAGTTCCAAGTCACCCTAGGCTATTTAACCAGAGTTATTCCTGCCCACCTCACTGTCTGCTACTTTCATGCCATTGATATATATATATCAATTGGGAATATATATATCAATTCCCAACACCCACATGGTGGCTCACAATCATCTGTAACTACAGTTCTAGAGGCTCCCACACCCTCTTCTGGCTTCTGTGGGCACAGGTTATGCACCGTACACACATATACATGTGGGGAAACATATGCGTGTGTGTTGTGTGTGTGTGTGTGTGTGTGTGTGTGTGTGTTTCTCAGTATGAGAGAAAGCCAACAATATTCATATTTCTGAGTTGGCTTATTTTACTTAAAATGATGTTATCCAGTTCCAACCATTTTCCTGCAAAGTATGTTGTTTTTCATACAAAACCGTTTGTTTCTGAGAGGAAGGAGCTGTAAACTGCAGCCATTTACAGGGGTCGAATAGTGGATATTCGGTTGTTTTGCTGGAATTGAGAAAATTTAGTGTGATGTATGGGATAAAAGTTAAAAAAAAAAGTTAAAAGTTAAACTTTTTTGCTTTTTGAGACAGGTCCTCACTCTGTAGCCCTGGCTGTCCTACAACTTGCTGGGTAGACCAGTCTGGCCTTGAACCACAGAGATGCCTGTCTCTGCCTCCTGAGTGCTGGGATCAAAGATGTGCTCCACTAAGCCTGGATTAGACTTTGGTTTTTACAAACAGAAGAAGCCAGGCTTTGCAGCACATGACTGTAATCCCAGGTTCAGACAGGAAGATTATTTCAACTTTTCGGTCAGTGTGGGCTACCTGTAATCCCAGAACTCTGGTGTAGAGGCTAGCAGCAGTTCAAGGGCATCCTTGGCTACTTAGCAAGTTAGAGGGGTTCTTGGGCTACATGAGACTTCATCTCAAAAATTAAATAAGTAAGTAAATAAATAAGTAGAGCATAGGGAGCCGTTGAAGTTTCTTAAAACAGGGAAATACCATGCTCAGGCTTGCTGTCCAGATAAGAGATGACAGGAGCTCAGGGCAGACCTGGTAGGGGTGAAGAATACAGATGTGGGGCTGGAAAGAGGGCTCAGGGGTTAAGAACACTACCTGCTCTTCCAGAGTACAGTTCAGTCCCCAGCACCCACATTGAGTTGCTCACAACTACCTATAACACCAGCTCCATGGGATCTGCCACCCTCTTGTGTCACATACATGTGAGGGATACACACACACACACACACACACACACACACACACACACACACACACACACACAAATACACAAATGATAAATTTAATTCTTTAAAAAAATATTGGGGGGGGGAGGCTAGAGAAATCATACAGTGGTTAAGAGCACTTGTTGCTCTCCCAGAGGACCCGGGTTCCATTACCAGCTCTTATACCGTAACTTACAGCCATTTGCCATTCCAGTTCCAAGGGGTCCAAAGCCTGATTTTGACCTCTGTGGGCATGCACATGGCATATATACACACTCTCAGTGTGTAGACACACTCTCATACACATACCATAAAATGAATGCAATCCTAGAGGTTTGTTTTGCCTTCACTTTTAGGAGAACCTCTGAAAGCATGCATTGAGAGGCAAGGAAGATGAGGTTATGTAATGTGATTGGCGCTTCCTGTATATTGCAGTGCTAATCCTTTTCATAAGAGTCTGGCCTCCTTGCTATTTAGTAAAAGGCTATGTAAAGGGTCCATAGCTCGTCATTAACTCTTCCACTCATAACCCTTAATGTAGGAGTCCATCCAGGCAGGGTGAGAGCTGTGGCACTATGCTGTAGCCTTGACTTTATGAAAATGGCTACAGACCATTATTTTAGTCTTAATTTACTTCAAAAGTCTGGTCATTTGGGGCTGGAGAGATGGCTCGGTGGTTAAGAGCACTGTCTGCTCTTGCAGAGGACCTGGGTTCTGCTCCCAGGACAGTTTACAACCCTCTGTGACTCCTGTCCCAGGGGGTCTCATGTCCTCTCCTGGCCAGTTTGGTCATGCCATAGATAAATAATTGAGTAGAACATTAGCAATGAGATTTTTTTTTCCTTTTCGTGATAGGTTTTCTCTGTGTAGTGCTGGATGTCCTGGAACCTGCTCTGTAGACCAGGCTGGCCTCAAACCTACAGAGCTTCAACTACCTCTCTCTCCTGAGTGCTGGGATTAAAGGCACAGCCACCATACCCGCTAAAAGAAATACCTTTTTTAAAAAAGAAAATTTAGTTATCGGCCTGTCATAGTAAATCTTGCAACCTGAGAAACCAATTTTAATTGTATTTCCACAAGAAAGAAATGGAAAACTACATATAATTTATAAGAAATAATTTTGCTACAAATATACAGATATAAAACCCAATTAATTATACCTTCCAGCATTGTTATATATGGTATACGCTTCTATCGGGGCTAGTTTCTGGTAATTAAATTCATGTGTAAGGAGCCTTCTGGGTCCCTAGCATAGTTTATGCAATGACCCCAAACCCTAGACTTAACAGATCAGTAATATTCCTTCAGAAATTGGAGAGTTTAACCTGTCTCAGTTCTGTTTTACCAAGTAAGGCCCTAAAACTGAATCTAGCATCTAATTTTTTTGTTTGGTTTTGAGACAGGGTTTCTCTGTATAGCCCTGACTGTCCTGGAACCTGCTCTGCAGACCAGGCTGGCCTTGAACTCATAGAGATCTGTCTACTTCTGCCTCCAGTGTGAATTACGCATCTTTATCTTTACTGTCACCAGCAAGATAACAAGTTAAATTTCCTGACGTATAATTTTCACATGATAGAAGGCACCCATCTTAAATGAGAGAGAGAAAAATGTAAGAGTAAAATCTCTCAGAATAGTTTGGGGAAACTTAATGCTTGCCTGTCTCTTTCTCTTTTGTGGCTCAGTGACATCATTAGGGCTGTCCTATAGGAAGAATTTCAGGGCCATCACCCTTGAAGGGGGATGAACAGTGAAATTCTAGCCTTTGAGATTTCTGGGCCAGAGACCAGGCAGTGGGAAAGAGCAGCCAGGGTCATGTTGACAGAGGTAGGGGTGAGGCGGAGGTCTGCTTATTACTCATGACCTCCTGTTTGATGTGTTCCTTTGTTTGATGTGTTTAGCCTATCAGCTCATCACCGTGGTGATAGCGGCAGCAGGAGGTGGCCTTCTACTCATCCTGGGCATCGCACTCATTGTTACCTGTTGCAGGTGAGTGATGAGAACTCAAATTTAAATCCCTTTTTATCCACTGTGCTATTCAGAGGGTTAATTTTTAACCTTGAATAAACCCAGTGCTGGGGAGACTGAGGCAGAAGGAATATGACTTTGAGAATGAGAACAGCCTGGATTCATAGCAAATTCTAAGCAAGCCTGGGATACATAATAAAATCCTGTCTCCAAAGAACCAAAGATAAATAAATAACACAACCAACTAGGTAAAAAGGTGAACTGGACTTTATCAAAATCCAAAACTTTCAAACTCTAGAGCTGAGGATGTGACTCCATTGGTAGAATGCTTGCCTAGCATGCATGAAGCATTTGCTCGCCAAATGCAAAACTAAGCATGGTGTTGTCCTCTTATGATCCCAGCCCAGAAGATAAAGGCAGGAGGAATAAATAATTCAAAGTTATCCTTAGCTATAAAGCAAGTGCAAGGTCAGTCAGGGATACAGGAGGCTGTTTTGAAAATACGAAGCAACCGGATCTGGTGACACTCGCCTTTAATCCCAGCACTCTGGAGGCAGAGACACCCGGATCTCCTGGAGTTAAAGGCCGACCTGATGAAATACCTCCACACAAGAACCTGTCCTGCTGTATTCACAGCAATTCTCTTCCTAAGAGTCAAAAGGGGTAACGGTCCCAGTGCCTGTGAGCTGATGAATCCAAAAACGAATGTGACAGAGCAGTACCCCAGAGCCACATTCAGCCATTGACTGACACATAAGCAGACCTTCAAAATCTTATTCTAAATGAAAGAAGGCATCTAAAGGTCATCCGGGGTGTGATATGAATATGAGTTACTGAAGTAGTCTGTGTCTAATAGAGACAGAAAGTAGACTGGTTGGAATCTAGGGCAGAGGTCAGGTTAGAGAAGTTAGAAGACTGGGGATGGTTGCTAAGGGGTAGGTGACGATGTGGTTTTAAAATTGTGATGATGGTCGCACCACTATGAATATGTTAAAAACCATTAAAAGAGTAAATCGTATGGTTGCGTCAGTCGTCTCTCAGAACTGTGTATATATAGAGATGAAGACTGAGATGCAGGGAGAGAAGGGGGCTGCCTGAACTGTTTTAGCACTTAAGAAGGTGGAGCCACAGTTTGGATGAATAGTGATGAGCACAGTTTGTATGGGAAGGGAAGAAAAAGGGGAGGCTAGATCCCCCTTGTCTAGGATTTCCTGTTCAAGTAAAGGAAAATTACAGTCATTGATTTAGACGATATCAAATGGAAAGAATTATTTTTATTTGGAGGAACCTTACCAAAATAGTTCTTTATCTTTTTGTCCCATGAGATAAGGGCATTTTAAGGCATCCTATACCACCAGGAAGGCCACCATGAATAACTTAACTGTAAGCACCCCCTCCCTCAGGCGTGTAGACCGCATGGGATAGCCCCTTCTCATATTGCCATCAGAGATAAGTATGAGTGAAAGAAGCCAGTGAAGAGCAGTTCCGTAGAGAAATAAAGCATGGCAACTGAGAGGACATAAGCTGTGTATTGACTACATTCTTTATCACACAATGTAGTCATCTTTGGAGGGAGCCTGGACTCTTGGTTACTGAAAGGGGAAGACAGCAATGGGGGTCACTGAAGGAAGGGCTGGTACTGAAGCCATGCGATGGAACTTTTACAATGCTGAGTCATTTCTGTGCCTTTCCCAGAAACTTAAAGTGCAGAGGGAACAATGGGCTTCAGATAGTCTTACTCAGAGCAAATATAACTAAATATTTCTGATCCTCCGCCCACAAGACAGACAGCTGTCCTGACCGTTTCTAGGTAGTGAAACCTCCCGGTAGGGCTTCTGGGCCTGCTAAAATGAGAATGTGGACATCTGTAAGCAGGCGGCCCCCATTGAGGTTTTGTGGTTTGTGAAGTTGTAAGTAAAACACTGGCTGGGGAGTAGAGAGGCCAGCCCCATCCCAGGTCCCTGGTAGCTGCAGGTGAGCCATGGGCTAAATCTTCATGAGCCAGAGCTGCCTGAGACCTGGCTCCCCATGCTGGAAACCAAGAACAGTGTTGATCTTTCTCACCGACAGCCACCTGTGAACCTTGATTTCTTGTGCCCCTGGCTACCCCAGGGCACAGTGCCCTTTGCTCCCAGAGGACACTAGTAGCTCCTTTGGGACTGTCTTCATGCTCCATTTAGGCTCTTGAAGTTGGGAAATCTTTTCAAATCCTTTTTTTTTTTCTTTTTTGGATGGCAGAGGGGACACCTAATCTCAGCTTTAGTTTTTTACTCAAATATTAAATTATACTAGCATTTCTGGTGGGCAGCCACACAGAAATACGGGGAGGGGGGCAGTTCCCAGTCTATCCCAGTCTAATTTCTGTTTCGAAACACACTCATCAGTCTTATCACAGAGGCCATTTCCTGACACAACGTATTGATAGAATTTGTCGCACATTTCTTTAAAATCTCACAGAAAGAGTAAAAATGACATAAGTAAACTCATCTTCAAAAGTGGGGACTTCCAAATGTCCCCATACGCCGAGTACCCCAAGAATCCTCGCTCACAAGAATGGGGCCGAGAAGCCATTGAAATGCACGAGAATGGGAGCACCAAAAACCTTCTGCAGATGACAGACCTGTACTACTCGGTAGGTGTCTGTGCCCAGCCCCTCGGGGACCCAGCTCAGGGCTCCTCGTGGAAGTATCAAACTCAATTAAGGCTTCCAGAGAGGAGTGACACAAAAGCTCTCAGATACAGTTCATTTACCATTTGGTTTAACAATGGCCTGGCTGCATCACATTTATTGGTTTGAGTATAAGGGACACTGCACAGAGTAAATTACTTTTCGAGAGTGGTGGTCGAAAGTCCTAAACTTGCTTTTCAGAATAGAAACAGAAACTTCAAAGAAAGAAAGAATGTGGTTTTAGCCCTTTGCCCTCTCCTTTTTTGTTTGCTATCTTGTATCTCATCTCCTGTGGTTTGTCAGTCAAAACTGGGGGCTGGGAAAGACACAGCAAGAATAACTCAATGGCATCTTCACTGTGGAGGTTTTGGAGACTCAGTAGGTCTTTCACAATTGACTCTGTCCAGCCCTAGACTACATCACTGGGAAAGCTGGGAGCATACCTTAAGCCAGCGGTTCTCAGCCTTCCTAATGTTGTGACCCTTTAACCCAGTTCTTCATGTGGTGGTGACCCCAACCATAAAATTATTTCCAGTGCTACTTCAAAACAGTAATATTGCTGCTGTTATGAATCATGATATAACTATCTGATATGCGGGATATCTGATATGTGACCCCTGTGAATGGGTAGTTTGACCCACCTACCCCAGGGGTCTCGACACACCAGTTGAGAACCTCCGCCTTAAGCCGCTTTTCCTGTCCCACACTGAAGACAATAGAGCTTTTACTTGCTCAGTTCACCTCAGCACCCACCGGGTCAGCTGTAAGCAGACACAAATGGAGATATCGGGACAGAAAAGTAAACATGTCAGGAGGACTTCTCATCAGTTTGCTGTGTAGCAATAAACAGAGACCTTGCCCTGTGGGGACTTAATGGTGCTAGACATTTCTCGATAGAAACCGAAATCCCTCTGGTTGCTAGGGGATGAACCGGGAGGATCAGACTTTGGATGGGAGGGGCCGGTTTCTTCCAGTGTGCTCTTTGAAAAATTTCAGCCAGGAGGAAGAACAAGAAAGGTGGAGAAAATAAAGATGGATGTGTACTCCAGTTCGACGTCCTGTTTCCAAACAGGCATTGGTCTTTCGGCTTCTATCAGGAATGCTTCTCCGTCCCTAACTGATACTGTACTAAGTGTATCTTAACCCCACATCCTTTGCTAAGGACGCGGAAGCCCTGGTGTGGTGTGATAATTATAACAAACAAGCAGGCAGTATCCTGGGACCCCACCTCTCTGAACAGTCCCATAGCATTGTCTTAAATCTACTTAGGGGCTCAGATGAGCATCTTATTCAGGATAGGTCTTCCCCATAAATCACTAATTAAGAAAATGTCCGACAGCTGGATCTTATGGAGGCATTTTCTCTGTTGAGGCTCCCTCCTTTCAGATGACTCTAGTTTGTGTGTCAAGTTGACATGAAAGTGGCCAGGACAGGCCCTATCTTCTCTTTATAGAAACAGAATCTGAGTTTACAGCATGATGCTGTCACCTGAGTGCCACTGTCCCCCACAGTGGGTACAAAGTGGTGCAGGCAGAACCGCGTTGGCTCTCATAGGCGTCATGTTTATAATGCACACTCTCTAGTACTTTATTTCCACCGAAAGCATTGACCTCTGATGTTGCTCTCAGCTCTTTCTCCCGGAACCTTTATTGTAGTTTCAGATACCTGGCCTGACCAGAGCTTCTTTTTTGTTTTGTGTTTTGTTTTTTGTTTTTTGTTTTTCGAGACAGGGTTTCTCTGTGTAGCTTTGGAGCCTATCCTGGCACTCGCTCTGGAGACCAGGCTGGCCTCGAACTCACAGAGATCCACCTGCTTCTGCCTCCCGAGTGCTGGGATTAAAGGCGTGCGCCACCAACGCCCAGCCCTTACCAGTGTTTCTTAACCCCCTTTTAAAATAAAGTGAAATGTATCCCACATTCACAAAGAGATTAACTTGTCCGCCAGGTGGAGTGACACATGCCTGTAATCCCAGCACAAGGTAAAAAGAGGCAAGAAGATTGTGTGGAGAGCTAGACAGATGTCTCAGCTGTTAAGTCCCAGCACCCACATGGCAGCTCTCAACTGTCTGTAACTCCAGTCCCAGGGAATCAGATGTGCTCTCCGGGCATCTGTGGGCACCAGGCCCATAGGTGGTACACAGACATACATGCAGGCAAAACACTCATATACAGAAGATACAATTTAGAAAAAGTAACTTAAAAAAAATTTTTTTAAAGAAAGATTGTGAGTTTTAGGAACAGATGGTACGACTCTGCCCACCCCACCCCCATCTAAATACATAAATAGACCTGTGGGAGTTGTGCTTCCAGGTGAGCCGGTGCTTTGAAATTTATAGCTAGCCCCATCTTAAGTTCATTAAAATGTAAGACCTTCTAATCTTATTTAAGTCCCGGAATAAGTAGCTTTTATTCTTTTCTCCTTGGCATCCAGCCCACAAACGTGAGGAACCCTGAACTTGAACGCAACGGACTCTACCCGGCCTACACTGGACTGCCCGGATCCAGGCACTCATGCATCTTCCCGGGACAGTATAACCCATCTTTCATCAGCGATGAGAGCAGGAGGCGAGACTACTTCTGAGTACGGGAGAGAGAGGGGCCCATTCCTCTGAGCCACTTCCGCAGACCTCTGGCTCGGAGGACTGTGCCAAAAGGGAGCACCATGCACTAGCCGCTCCTAGGACTTGTCAGAGCCACACTTGAGGGGCATGACCACAGTGGAAGGGACAGATGGATGCGGAACCGCAGGCCACTCATTCCGCACTGTTATTACTGTGAACTCGAGCATGGGCCAGAACAGAGTCTCTGAATGTCTGGCATGTAGACCTGGCTGATTTCCACGGGAGACCACTAGGCATCATTTCTGGGACCCAGTTTCCCCTTAATTTGCACTTTAATAGATTGGGCAGGGAGGTTTCATTTTTGACTCATTTCCAGACTATTCCAGAAAGCCTTCCTTTTCTAGGATACTTCTCAGTTTGGTGAATGATTGGCAGCCAGGTGCTGGCACATTTGTTTTCCCGCCCGGTGCCTCATGCTAAACAACAGATGGAGGTAAACATACCCCTATAATCTAGCGAGGCTGCATTCGGGGGCATGGTATTTTAAGTTGTCTGTGCTCATTTCCAAACCAACACCCTAAACGAGAACTTGACATTTACAAGGCACAGCACACAACTTCCATTTCTTTTGTAAGTCGGGGTGAAACATTTGCTTACGATTTATTAATTTTACTTCTCCAGGCAAGAATGAATCAGGGCAAAATAACTTTCATTTGGTATCATTTCATTAGAAGTATCCAGCTGAACCTTATTTAAGTCCCAGCAGGCAATATCAGACTGGTCCTCTATATGGTAGGCTGTCTTTGATCCACAAGGGGATATGGGGCCCCGAGTCTCTGACGCCCTACACCGTGGAGCCGGAGTCTACAGGGAGAGGCGATCATAGGTGCATCTGAGCGTCTCAGCACGGAAGGAAAAGCAGCCTGCTGAAGTCCCCACAGCAGGATATGACAGGAATAGACTCAATAACATGACATATTTCCTGCATCACCCAGTGTTTTTGAGAAGCTGCGTAGGGAACTATGAGGTAAGGGTGTGCCCGCTAATCTTTGAACCCATAATGTTGTCCACAAACTCATGGAAACTTTTTAACCACTCAAAGTTATTTACTCACTGAAGAGAAAACTTGGTCATTTCTCTCACCTGGTCATCATTATGTCTGTGTCCTTGTGCAGTGCCCCCTCGAGACTCAGCTATGGTCCAAGTTGGCGTTGGAGAACTAAAGACTGGCCAGCTAGGGGGTTGGGAGCTTGCTTTGGGGGAAGGGAGTGCTGTGTCTTGTTTATTGTATTGTGACGGGATCCTGGTGTGTTGTGGGGAGGGGAGCTCTGTCCCCTGTGGCACTTGCTCATTTATCAGTTTGTGGAATACCCTTGAAGCTGGGAATTCGTGGCATGTCTTTCTGGAAATGGGGCAGCTGTCGGAGATTGATCTGTGGGTGTTCGTTTGGGGTTCTCTGTTTCCTCCAAAATTTACGCAGGTCCCCATCCTGTTTTAAGTGTGCACTGTATTCCTTGGTGTCCACCACTCGGGACTATTAGCCAGGTGCAGTGGATTTCAATCATCAAACCACACTCATTAGTACCGAGAGAGTTCTGTTGCTGTTGGTTGTTGTTGACTTAAGGTTGCAAAGCATTGCCATGTAGAAGCCACGGGTCTTACCTCTGTCTGGCTGTGGAACCGATGGCTTCTGTGTCTTTGTGAGCCCCTGTGCTCAACTTGCCTGAGCCCAGATCCCTTGTGAGGTAGCCTGGTTCTAGCGCTTCCCTCAATATCCCTTGTCCTGGACCTTACTGCTGTGAAAAGAGCCAGTGTGGCAGCTGTTCCCAGACACACTTCTGAAGCCTTCAGCTGGCATCACAGCTGGTGAGCACCTGACGTAAGGGCCAAAATCTCAGAGCACCTGTACAAGGCCAGAAACCTCAAGCCCCACACAATGAAGATTCCTGGAAAAAGTCCTGTGAATTCCAAAAATGTTTGCTGACTCGTGAGTTTGTTCCAAATAGAGTCGATTAAGAGTGTTTTGTTTTGTTCTTTTTTACTGTGAAAAAAAAAAAAATGAGAGTGCCAAGCAAGGGTGAATTCATACTTAGTCACCATCTCGGGGGTCCAGGAAGTTTGAGGTAAAAAGGCTTGAAGCATTTGTAAAAAGTGACATGACTTGCCTGGGACTCTCTGCCCACTTTTGGGAGGAATGGAGTGACTAGGTCTCTCCGACTTGGGGTTATGTCCAGATGGAGCCTGGAGATAGGATGTCAGCAGCCCATGAGCAGGGCAGACAGGATGAACCAATGCTGGACACAGTGCTCAGAGTCTGTCCCTGTACCCAGAATGCATAATTCAGGTGCATAGACATGTCACAGTCTGGCACTAGGGTCCCATGATGGAGATGGGGAGAGAGAAAAAGCTACAGGGCCTAGGAGATGCATGTGTGCAGAAGAGACAGGCCAGGCAGAACTTGCTCCTGAGGGACTCAGGAACAGAAAAGAGAAAGGGGGCTTCTCAAACCCAGTCCGAGCTCTGTGTAAACTCCAAGGGGTCCTTTTTTTTTTTTCTATTTTATTTTTTGCTCCACAAGCCAGCTCATAACACTGGGACTTATCAATTAGGAGGATACATGTCTTCCTACAATGAGCATTCAGAGAGGGGCTGGGAATGTAGCTTAGATGGCAGAGTTCATACCTAGCAGGTACAAGCCCTGGGTTTGATCCTCAGTGTCACACAAACTGGGCATAGTGGTACAGGCCTGTAATCCCAGCCCTCAGAAGGTGGAGACCAGAGGACCGTGACATCAGCATTTCCTGGAGTACATAACGCCTGTCTCAAAAGGGAAAATATAGTCAGGTTTGTAGTTGGCGAGATGTATATTGGCATGTGCTTTGGGCTGCCAGAAGTGAAAGGGGGTGGTCTAGATAGGTTTTTGATGAGCACAACCAGGCTTAGGTGCCCATTTGAGGGCTGCCTGCTTTATTCTCAGAGTGAGGCCATGGCTCCCACACATTAGATGTGTGGACCTGTGGGAGCTGGGAACACAGTTGAGTGTCTGGGGTGCTGAAGGAGCTTCCTTATTGGGGAGGTTATTTTTAGAAGCATTGAAGTCATGTTGAAGCAGAACTGCTGTATGATTGGTGCAGTCAAGCTGCCTGGTGGCATTTGAGGTCAAAATTGACAATTATGGTCTAGAAGAGGAAGTTGTAAAAGCTGGCCCCTAGAAGAGAGCAGCATTGTTGGAAGGAGACTGGCTGACGACCAAGAGTAAAGTCTTCAAAGATGCTGTCTATCCAAGAGGGAAGTTCCAGAGTGGTCACATTAGTATCACCCCAGCACGTGTCTTCCGGGTGCCTCCTTATGCCACCTTGCCCAGTTGTGAGGTGCCAGGGTCTCTGTAACTGTGGGATGTGACCTAAAGCAGTAAAACTATACAGCCAGGTTGCCCTCAGCTAAGTGTCCCATAATACACTCAAAACTAGGGGCTTTATCCAGAGTTGTAAATTTATATTGATTTTTTTCTTTCAAGACCAAAGCACTTCCTTGGGAAGAACAATACAAAATTCTGTGTTTTAGTATTTTATTTAAAACAGCCTGTAACAACAAAGATACTGACATCTATACGAAAGCTATTTTTTTTTTTTTTAAGAAAAGGATGCACACATCCTCTCTCTTCTCCTTCCTTTTCCCTTCCTCTCCCTCCTCCTCCTCCTTTTGGAGGATAGGGCCAGGAATGGAACCCAGGGCCTTGCACACACCAGGCAAGTGCTTTGCCGTACTGTGTAGAGCTGCATCACACCTCAGCCCTGTTCCTTCTTCTCCCATAACATCATTCTCAAGGGCTCATTGGCATGTCTAGAGACAGAAATAGTTTTGTAGTTTGTCATTGGGGGCGGGGAACAAAAGGAACACTGAAGTTAAGATAGTAATTTTAAACTTTTTAAAATAACTGGTTAAAATAATAGGAACATTAAAATATTACATGCAGTCAATTCCTTGTACTTAAGTATCTCCACGAGGTTATACTCCTTTATGTCTGATGGAAACTTTAGTTCACAGAATAACCTATGAAACCAAAGGGGCACCCTCTAGGTCTGAAAAGAGGCATGTCCTGGACTGCACCTACCACATGGGCATTTTCAAAGAGGGCATTTCCAAGGGGCTGCCTGGTGGATTCTCCCATGTTTTAAATGATGGGCTTGATGCCCATGTCCTGAATTGTTGAGATTGGGGTGAGAATGGGAGTGGGGTGGAATTGGTTTGTAATGGGAACTGAACCCACTCACTTATCTTTGGGCATTACCTAGGCCTGTTCTACAGAGAAAATGACTGTTTCACCACAAGTTGCTGTGAGTTTTGGTGATATGTGTGTGTGTGTGTTGCTGGCCTTCCGGTTAAATGGAAATGAAGCTGCAATACGAACTCCATTTCCCATTGTCCTGGATTTTCTTCTGTACTCCTTGAAACCTGACACCCAGGTTGACTGTGTGAAACCCATCATGAGAATGTTATTTAAAGTTGTATTATAATGTCGCCTCCACTAATTATTCAGTACTGTAGCAGCAAAGTATTATTTGTAAGAATTTGGTTATTTTTATACTTATATCCACTCTAAGTCTGGCGTTCTAGTCAGCAAAAAAAAAAAATATGCAATAAAATCAATACCATTCCCATTGGTTTTCTCTTAAAACAAATGTGTAAGAAGTTGTTTTTTTAAACTATGCTTACTTTATTTAAAACCAAGTGTTCTTTAGATCTCAGATTTCTAAAGCCAGCAAGTCTATCAACTTATAAAATTCAAAATTGTCAATTTCTAAAAATGCTTTTTCAAAACAGAATTAACAATTTGTTTGAAGAATTATGAAAAAACATATACTGCCCCACTCCCAAATAAGGAATGAGTGTAACTCTTGTGTGTTCCACTAAGACATACAAAAATGTACCTCTTAAGACAAATACCAATTCCTGTTCATGGGATGCTACACCATGATATTATAATCTTACAATTTAATCTTATTTCTCACCAGCGTCAAACAACTGATTTGGGTTGTGGTTAAATATTTCTTTCTAGCCTCCCCTAACCATATTCTGAAAACCACTTTCCAGTGGTACTGCACTGCAGGACTTATTATATATGATATTATAATTAATTTTCTACTGCAGATAACACTAAGGCCACATGTATGTGTTCTCACCTGAAGCTTTAAGTTACAACAGAGGACCCAGTTCAGAATAGGTCAACAAATTCCCTATCATTTATTTACAGCTGCATAAAATAGGTATCAGGAGATAATAGCCATCAATTGAAACATATTTAGGTTAGCAATACTTTTGTATAGTCACATAATATTCCCTAGTAGTTACTAAGAAATTATTGAATTCAAGTATTGGAATTTTTGAGATCCGGAACATATTATATGAGACTAAATATGTTGTCAGATTATTCTCAAATGAAGGAAGCCAAGCCACTTATTCACCCATTGCAGTGAGAAGCATTTTGAGATTTCTCCTACATGAAACATTGATCAGTAAAAGGAAGGGTTTCTCTGAAGGGTTGATTTTGTACTTTAACAACAGCAAACAAATGGATGGGGACTATAGAAGTACCTATTTCAGCCAAAAAGGATGCATTTGGAGTATAAAAACATGACTTGTTAGTATACAGACACATAACATATGCTTATATTGTAAACATACACAAGTTGTTTTTTTATCAGCACACAACTAAAAATAACTAAAGTGAACAGTGGCCTTCTGAATGGCAGATTGAGGCAGTGAGTCACCTCTCCATCCTCAGTGCCCAGAAGTTAGAAACACTGTTGAAGATGAATGAGTGGATGGGTGGGTGGGTGGATGGTTGGGTGAATGAGTGGATGGATGGGTGGGTGGATGGTTGGGTGAATGAATGGATGGGTGGGTGGATGGATGGGTGGGTGAATGAGTGAATGGATGGATGGGTGGATGGTTGGGGGAATGAGTGAATGGGGGGGGGGGGGGGGTTCAGATATTGCATCCTCTCTGTCTCTAAATCAGAGGGTGTAACTAGGTCAGACACTGGGTGTTTGCTCCTGACTGCTGCCTGTGACCAACCACTCCATGCCAACTCCTCATGTCTTGGAGATGGGACAGTAAATAACATGTCTGAGATTCTGTGGAACTTTAAAATCAGGCCATGGAATGTGGCTACATGGCTAGATAAATGTTTACTAATGTATTCATTACTTGCTTCCATGGAAACAGCTCATATACTTTTTTGGGGGGGAGGGGATGCTTGACACTAGTGGAGGTCCATAACCACAGCTTGGGGCATGAGGGTATCTTGTCAGAAGGCTCAATCAGGCTGTAGCTCATCAAACATTCCTGGATGGCCCGTATCATCTCTCCCTTCACCCCCTCCTTCCACTCAGCCTCTAGGAAACAGTCCCCACTGAGATCTTAACTGGGTCCTGATGTTGGTCCTTTCCTATTCCTGCTCAGCTCAGCCAGACATTGGCAACCATAACAACTCCAGATCTCCCCTCCAATTGTATGCATTTAAGGGGTGCACTATGATGTTTGATGTATTCTCCCCAGTTCCACACAATCTCAAAATAGAGGATCCTGCTCCCCTTTGTTAATGCTAAATAATATTCATTGTATACATCTATACCAGTTTCTTTAGCCATTCATCGGTTGATACTTAGGTTATTTCTCCATCTTGGCTTCTGTGAATTAATGCTGCAGTTTGATAACTGTTTCAAAGCAGGCAAGATGGGGAGCCTTTTGCCCACACATCAGGCAGGGCTGCATGTTTAGCCCACTTGTGCCTCCGCCCTGGCTGAGCGTCTGTCCCAGAATTTGGTTTTCTGGGAAGAAAAGTTCTCCAAGTGTCTTCAGCACTCACAGTCATCTGTTTTCCAGCTTGGGGAGTGCAGCCTGGCTGTATGGTATGGTGATACCCCCTTCCCATACCCCCGGCAGAGTCCTCCCATGTTGGTAGTCAGTAGGTGAAGGTCAGGTCAGCTTTCAGCTGTGATAATGGCATTGAAACACAATGCAACCCTTGGCGTAATGAACAGAAACTTTAGGTTAGAAACACAGAACCATACCAGGAGCAAATGTTTATGCTGATTTTTACTGACTTTATTAGGTCATTCAGCACTATCAGTTGGGATAAGGCATTCTTCTGTACTTTCCTGCTATTTCTTCCCAAATCACCATGGCAGGCCTGAGTCTACCCCAGTGTCTGAACATCCGTATCCTGATTGGTAGAATAAGCTAACAATTTCTGCCTTAGGAAGTTGCAAAGATTAAAAGAACTCATATGAAATTATTTTAGAACTATCAAGAAGAGATGCATATTGGTTCAGGTGAACAAGAACTGCCTGTCACCAAAAGAAGGAAGGACGGAACACTGGATGTCACTGTTCACTGTCCCTGGAGGTTTGAGCTTGACTCCTTCACTTCCATAGCCTGCCCCAACACCACCACATAAAGGGACATATTAGCTCAGAATCATAACTGAGGACTGATAGTACTGTAGTCTTGTCTGATATTCTGTGCTCAGGGTCTGGCCCACGGCTAGTAAGCAGTTACTAAAGCAAGGACAGATTAGTGGACACCTGGATCATAAAAAAAGTACTTTAAAATCAAAGGCCCTAGGGGTGTTCTTTTTGGATTCTCCAAGAGAACCCCCAAGGAGCTATCCCTTCAGTCCCCAGGGTTATGTTGATGTGTAAAATAGACTATGCCTGTAAATTGAAGCCTGCTTCAATGTTAGCTAATAAATCTTTCTTACATTCTACTTTGAATCTTCTTTTAAAATAAAAACATTAATTAAAAAAAAAAAACAAAGGCCCTGGGCTGGGAGTGGTAGCTTATGCCTATAATCCTAGCACACTAAAGGCTGAGACAGAGGAATGTCAGAAAGTTCAAAGCCAGCTTGGACTACTGAGGTACCCAGCAAGGCTTTGTCTCAGAGAAGGAGAGACAAGAGACAGAGACTACCAGACATGTCTGACATGTGGTCCACAGACCACACACATCCCAGGATTGCTATGAATGTAGCTCAACACATTTGTAGATGAAGCATTGTATTCCAGTGTCCAAAGGACGACACCCTGTGGAGTTGTGGAATAACTATGCAATTTGAGTGTCACCAAGCAATTTAAAAGAACGGACTACCACAAGGCTGAGTCTCAAAAGCATCGTGTTAACTGAAAAAGAGAAGCAAGCTGGTGGGCTGGAGGCATGACTTAGCAGTCAAGAATGCTCACTGCTCTTGGACCTGGGTTCTATTCTCAGCACCCACGTGACAGCTCTCAGCTGCCTGTAACTCCAGTTCTAGGGGATTTGATGCCCTCTTCAGACCCATTTGGGCTCCTGCATACACGGACACAAAAATACACAAATAGATTTTTAAGCTGAACATAGAGTCTACACACAGAGTCCATTTTAGTACATTCTGGAAAAGATAAAACTACAGAAATTAGAAGAGTGATTGACCGGAGGGTAGAAAGGAGATTGCTTCCTTCCAGCCATGTGGTAGCATGCCCTTCCCCAGCCCCTCGAAGAGGCCTGCTCTGGCTAAAGACGTGAATGAAGGTGAAAGGTGTCACTTCTGAGAAAACACATTAAGAATTAGTATGTGGGGCTGGGTGTGGTGGCACATGGCTTTAATTCCAACACTTGGGAGGCAGAGGCAGGTGGGATTCAAAAGTTCAAAGTCAGGCTGAGTTACATACATAGCAAGTATCATGAGACCACTTAAGAAATACAGGATTGCTTAATGTCAGAAGCACATTGCAAAGGTGGCTGGGTTTCAATGAAAACTTCCAACAAGAAAAGAATTCAAATTAAAAAGCCAGGCCTGGTAGCATAGGCCTGTAATCCTCTCTGCCCAGAAGTCTGAGGCAGGAGGACCATTGTATAGCTAGCCTAGGGTACACAGTGAATTCAGGGCTGGCCCAGGCAACTTAGTGGAACCCTGTTTCAAAATTTAAAGAGTGAAAAAGATCTGGAGACAGCTTATTGGTTGTGTACTTGCGTAACATGCTCAAGGCCCTGGATTCAACCCCCAGCACTAGGCCTAGCACAGCAAAAGCAAACCAGAAACACACACTTCATAGTGTATGGTGCTTTGCCTCAGTTTGAACCTCACCAATACTTTTTTAGCATTGGGGTCTTAATGGATTTCTTAGCTAATCCAACCTTTCACTTCCCTGTGTTAATCCCAAGACCACTACTACAATTTTTGAGCCAAATTTGAAGCAAGCTTTATTAAATACTGGCTAGGACAATGGATACTGACCAGGTATTCTGGGACTCCCAGAGTATGGCCACGAATTACACCAGTGCAGTATAAAGGCAAAACCCCCAAGTCTACGTACTTTCCACCTTCGTCCAGTTGGGGGCAAGCATACATCCTGACATACTTTCTGCCCACAAACCTGCCTATGTGTGACCAAGCAAATCCTGTGCAGTTGGGGCAATCAAGCTTGTTTAGAGAAGTAATACATGAACAAGAGCCTCTAGCATTCCAGGAAGTTATCCATTATCCGTCCTTGGTGCTTACAGGTTTATCAGTCCTTGGGCAAGTTAAAAGTTAGAGGTATTTGTGTTTTATAGATCTCTTAAGATAGGTAATTTAAATTTAAAACGTAACTTTAGCCCTCACAGCCGATGTATCATAG